ATAATTATGAAACGTCAAATTTTAATTAACATAAAAATTGATACATACATTCGTAAGTAAAGATCTTATGTTTCTTACGGTAATTTCTGCAAAAAGTAGATATTCGGGAGTCGTATAAAAATCCGCAAATTATTTGTATTTAAATTTTTTGCCTTCTTAAAAATATGTTTAAAACGCGTCAACGCTGAAATAATAAGACTTGCACTATGGTGGCATGCACTCGGTATATAGAGGAACAATGGCCCTAGAGGAATTATCGTGTCTCCACATCGACTCACATACCTGTATTAAACAAATTTTTCCCTATCCTAGAAGGCGAAATCAATTTTACAATAAGCTGTCACGCACAGCAAACTGGTTATTAGTTACTGTTCAAGTAAGGTCGACTCTAACTTGTTCTTTTACGTTAAAACACAAGGAAAGTGTCGGTGTAATATTGAAGGACATTTTATAGACGCATGAACTGGGTATACTTAATGTCTTCTCTTTTTTGTTTATTTATTTATAGCATCACAAAGCAGAATGACAAGGTTTTTTAATAATAGTACAAAGATAATATTATAACATTCAGTTGACAATCCAAGTATGCAATCACAGCAAGTTATATAAGAAAAAACAAGAAAATTGATGGCACATACTATAAAAGTGACAAAGAATAAATATTTGTGACCATACAGGGTAAAAAACTTAAAACTCTTAAATATATAGCTAAAATAGAATAATGGAGAACAATGTCATGAAGCATTTAAGGCTGCTTTCAATCTCCGTTTAAATATGAACAGATCGTTACCTAAAATATCCAGCTCAGGATGTTTCAGAACTAGGGAGTTATAATTGCAGCTAATTCTAGATAGAGGTTTATTTAATACTAAGGATTTAACGTAAAAAAATATTTGAGGTATAAAGTCTATCCTTGTTCTCCTCTACCAAGCTTTCCTTCTACCTTTCCTTCCATGATGTACATAACGTATCATTTATGTATGTGTACACAATGTACACATACAGAAATGATTACAAGCACGGGTCTTATAATTTTAATTAAAAGTTACTTACAATACTTTTTTATGTGAGAAGGTGACGAGCAGGCGACAGCGGTTATCACTTAACATCGGGTGATGTTAAGTAAGAAAAGTTACTTATATTAAAAATTGTGTTTTAAAATAACATCTCATCACTCATCGTCGTCTTCATCGCACAGAACATGCAATTATGTATAATTAAGACGGACGAAATGGGACCCCATTACTAAGACTCCGCTGTCTGTCTGTCAGTCTGTCCAGGCTGTATCTCATGAACCGCGATATTTAGACAGTTCAAATGTTCACAAATAATGTTTTTCTGTTGCCTATAAATACTAAAAAAAGAATGAAAATAATGTAATTGGGGCCGATTGATAATAGTATGGGACCCGTCGTGCGCGAGTCCGACTCGCACTTGGCCGGTTTTTATACATATTTCGCCAGCACGTGTGAGAGCAAACTCTTAGTGGTCATAATGTAGCTGAACAGTTTAGTAAACAAATAATCACGCTTTGATAAAGTTTCCAGTAAAATGACGGTGCGAAAGCCGAAAAATTTTGAACGCTCCGATCCGAATTAGAAATCACGCAGCGCTAGCTTTGGCGCTTTGATTTAGTTGCAGACGTTGCCCTTAATGTGTTGAAATATACACCTCGGGCCGAAATTATATGATCGCACAACTATTCCCGAGGAATTTGATAGATGGAATACTGTATTTAATCAGATTTGTGCTCCACACGTCCTTTTTGGAGTAAAACTTCTTTACGCACCCTTGACATGGGGAGTGAGTTGCTGAACGCATGATCACAGCGTTACGAAAAGTGTGATGTTACGCGAACGGTGATTTCTTGATTACTTCGTAATATTATTTCATTCTTGAACAATTTCATAAATTAGTATTTTGCTCTGTTTTGTATCCACACCGGAAGCACAAGCTTTAAAATAAGAATCATCAAAATCGGTCGAGAGTTCTGAGGTAACAAACATAAAAATATACAACTGAGAACCTCCTCCGTTTTTGAAATCGGTTAAAAGTAACAGCCTATACATGTCCCACTGCTGGGCAAAGGCCTCCTCTGTACAGAGGGTATCAGGGCATAGTCCACCACGCGGCCCCACTGCGGATTGGCGGACTTCACATATCTTCGAAATATTTTTTTTGTTATTATTTCGAAAATATGCAGGTTTCCTCACGATGTTCTCCTTCACCGCGGAGCACGTGATAAGTCAGCACTCAAAGTTAAAAACTTCATTGGCTTCACCGGGGATCGAACTCAAGTTGCTCGAGTATATTGAATTAAAGGCGAGCGCCCGGACACTGAGCTATCACGGCTTTTTAAATCGGGTTGAAAAGTTACCATTAATTATAAATTTCCATGCCTTTTCCATGAACAGTTGCATGAACTCCTGTTACACATTACTACCACGTTTCGATTCCATTTTCAGTGCACGCAAGTGTACTAGCGTCGAGGGGCGCACCTCAAACAATTTCCTTAAAAGCCCCGACCGTTCGTGCCGACCCAGTATTGGCAATCGATAGAATGAAACTGTAGACATCGACGCTAAGTTAACTTTGATAACAGCAGCTTTTGCCGCCACGCCTAATTAGTGTTTTGTAATTATCTCCGAAGTTTTCTACGTCATTGGGGCAGTGTTTGTTTAGTTAATTGATACGGGCGTCACTTTGTGATAATTCTTTAATTGCGGACCATGTTAATTTGTTTATTTAATAATGTACATATAATATAGGGCTTGGCATTAATTAATATTTATATAAAATTAATATTTGTAATACTTTTTCATTTTCATTACATTCTTTATACAGACAATCAGACGAATAAATGATTCCCTAGTCTCTATATATACATATATGTAATTCTTCTAAACGACTGGACTTATTTTGAAGAAACTTTTATGTGTTCAAATTGATTCGAGAATGGCCTACATTCACAAATCGGTCCATAAAAAAACATTTTTTTATTTTTTATTTATAAGTTGTCGAATTTAAGACGTGTGTACAGGTGCAGGACAAGGGGTGTCGGGTCCGCTACTAATATTATATTTTGAAGAAACGCGTTTTCTTTTACGATGTTTTCCTTCTCCTTTATATATAACTTTTATATAGCCGCACCATTTAAAACCTATCGCTTCCATAGTCTTGAAACCGATGAAGTAAGGCTTACAAGAAATAACAACAATAAATTAACTCATAACTTTGTGAAAGTTCGTGTGTATTCGTAATTTTCCGTGAAAACTCCTCAATATCTTCGTGTGTTATTTCTAACGGTGTTAGCTGAAATTGGTGATAATTAATATTACAAAATAATATTAGAAAGACCACGTCTTCGTTCCGTAAGTCATCACTGGCAACACACATTGGTTGAAGACTTTAGTCTTCAAACATTCAGGTATTTTTCAGCGTGATAGAGTTCACAACGACGACACCCGCAGTAGAACAAAGACAACCGACATAGCTCATAAGGTTAATAAGCTGAAGTGGCGTTGGGCCGGCCATATAGCTCGTAGAAGTTAGAACCAATAATTGATGGAGAAGAAAGGTTCAAGAGTGGCAGCCTCGTACTGGCCACAGTGTAGAACGACCCTTCACTAGATGGAGTGAAGACCTGCAAGTGTGCGAGAAGTCGATGGACGCAAGTGGCTCAGGGTCATGCTGCGAGACAGCCTATGGAGAGGCCTATGTTCAGCGGTTGACCCAAACAAGCGAGTGAAATGATGATGATGATGTTCACTCAAAAAATAACTTTCCCACTTAGAAGCCTCACGCGCCACCAGGGACACCGGTGCGTTCCATAATAGATCCCGGGGTCCCTCCAAACGTACAGAAAGTTGCTACCGAGGGGGTTGTAGTGGGTACAAACCCCACATAACCCTGTCATCTTAAATGAATCTTTTGAAGATCCCCCCCCCCCCCCATACCAAAAAAAAGGATGAAGACTCCACGAGTTCATCCTCTCCCTCCCTATTTAGACCTTAAAGACCGGAAAGCGCAACCGGAAACCGCTTCTTAAAGTGGTTCGGAAATCGGGGATTCCCCTTACTCGTTTATCATTGAAACGATGAAAGTCGCGGAAAAAACCCGCTATCCGAGTGGTACACGTACGGCCTTGACGCCGTTTTGTTTCATCTTTGACGATTTCTCCGTTCATTCGTTCGATATTACGTAGTTAAGCGGATCAATTGTGAAACTTATCGACAAACATTGTTCTCGCCGATTTTAAACGCTGCCGACAACAATATGCTTATTTAAAAGAACGTCGATAGTTGAAATATTTCCATGCGAACTGATTTTGCTGAAGGGAAACAAAGGTAAGTCGATTCCCTTTAGTAATAACTAACAAATAGCAAGATATTAAGTATAGTTAGAATTATTTTAAATGTTAATTTATTTTGTCTCATTTAAAAAACTTATTCAGATAAGTGAAATCTTGAAGACAATGTTATTACTAAGACGCTAGTTCAGCGTTAGATAACTGTACAAAACTGTGGTAGGGCCAAGCAACAGTCCTCGCTGTTGCACGAATTTTCAGGTCCGTCCGGGGAAGTACCGCGACCTCACAGAAGAACGCGAAGCCGAAATTTTATACTTCTACGTTTCGTCTGGTGAGTGACGTAGCCGGGGCACTTTATTAATAGGGTGGCAATGCATCATCATTCTCAAATAAAAAGTAGATATCTGTAGAAACTCTCTTTTCACCATCAGGTTTTAAACGTTGGTAAGAAAAGTGAGAGTTAACATGCACAATATCAGCTCCTCGCTAATTAGTGGGGACAGTTGAGTTCTGTGCTGATAAAAAGTGAGTGTAAACTCTTTCGAATGCCAAAGCATTCCGTATGCTTTCAATCTTTAACTAGTACACCAACTGTGTTTATGTAATATTACTTGCTACATCTGGTACAAGATCTCCTTCGGGTAGAAAAGGACTGGCAAGAAACGCAAAAATAATATTTACCCATTTACAGATGTTCCGTTACAAGTTAACAGCGATGCTTCTGTCACTGTTGGCCAGACTGGGTCTCGCCGACCCTCAGTACTCCATTCTGGATGAAAGCAGCAACCAGTGGCTGCCGAATGACAGCCTCCTTACTGGTCTCAATACATTGTACAATAGTCTGTGAGTGAATACTGTGTATTTTCATTATGGTCCCTTTTAGCATTTAACTTGCATGATTAAATTAAGCTAACTGGTACAACTATGTAGCAGTTTTTACTAACCTACGAACGAGCCGGCTCGTCCGAATAAGTCTGATGGAGGATGGCGCAATAATAGTGTTCACATTTTAAAATTTCGTCTAGCGAGTTAGGTAACCCTTAACTAACTCAAAAATATACAGAACCTAACTGTAGACTCAGTTTTGAAAAGGTGTCGTTTAACACCTTCCCTTAGGGAAATATCGCACAAAGGTAGAATGCACGGATGGTACAAACCCCATACAGAATAAAAATTTGTTTATTTCAGCATTGTTGTTACGAGTGTATGTGTACTTAGTGTCCGTGATATTTTATATTTGTATTTGTAATATTTCCATGGATACAGAATTTATCCAGTGCGGGAATCGTTTTCTTATTGATTGATATATGATGTGGTACCTACTAAGGAATCGTTCCCACTGATTCAATCAAAATTGACATTATTAAGTAAGCATAGTGCCTTCTTAGCTTAAACAAGACTAAACTAGACTAAACAAGATAGCTCTTTGATTAGATGACCTTTGCTCTAGATCTAAAGGATTGGAAGAAAACAACGACAACAAGAAGAGACGATCAGCGTCGGGAATAGTAGCTGCCATTATTGAATACCTCTCCTCTGACCTAGCAGATGAACAGGCTAAGCTAAATTCAACACTAAACGCGTTGACTAGAAAGGTCAATTCAAATACAAAAGTGGATCTGTATACCAGCAAACCGGTAAGCAAAATTTTGTGGTTATAAAGAGATACGCTTATATTTTTTAAAGAATATTATAATACCTAAGCCTTTGAAGCCCCTGTAATACAATGCTTTCAAGTGAAGTTTAAGAAATTCTTATGCCGAGAGCGGGTATGACGACGGTAAAGTTAAAGGTTTAGTTCGTCATACAAGTTTAAGTAAGCACTCACTGAAATTGGAACTCTCAGATACGCGAAACGATGTACTTAACCTCGAGGCCATATAATTTTTTGTCAGACAACGTAAACTTTATCGTAACGAGCCGTGATAGCTCACTGTCCGGGTGCTCGCTTATAATTCAATATACTCGAGCAAGCTGAGTTCGATCCCCGGTTCCGGTACCAATGAAATCGTTAATTTTAAGTGCTGAATTATCAGGTTCACAGCGGTGAAGAAAAGAATCGTGAGGAAACCTGAATATTTTCGAAATAATAACAAAAAAATCTAGGTACACAAAAACATTCTATGATGTTCAGTTGTGAGGTCGTCATTAATTGTCTGTATTGCTTCGACATTGTCTTGTTACCAGTTGAACTATCTTCTTTTGAAGATTCCCTTGCTTTATGTTCCAGAAAGTTAATGTTGAAAAATCCGTCATGACTCTATACCATAGTCAAACTGGAAACGCCAAACAAATGGTGGATGAAGAAAATCACGACAAAACCAAAACAAGTGCAAGATCAAACTTTGACTATAAAAAGGTTATAACACTGGAGACAAACATCGAGTACAAGTTTACTTCAGCTTTAAGCGATTGTTTCTTCTGACAACGCTGCTGTATTGTTTTGTTTCAGCCATTGTCAAATCTTTCTTTTTGACAATGATATATTTACCGGAGACTCACACATTATTGGAACAAATTCCAAGCATGCTGTTTTTACTGTTGGTTCAGAGATGCTGACGCAAATTTTGTTTTGGCCTCTAAAACAAAAGTGTTGCCTGTGTTTGTTATGACGTTAAGAGTGAAAGGATCTTTTTATATTTATTTTTAGTAAATATAAATAAAGACCCTGGCAATAATAAACTGAACGAATTATTAATCAAACTTTCATTGGCTATGATTGGCTATCTTTGCTGACAAATATTTGTGCAGTCCTTCGATATTCTGAAAGAGAATGCAATATACATTGCAAACGGAATATTGTAGTCACGACTTCTTCTAAACAAACTTATAGCAGAATCAATGAAGAATTGTTCAATAGGTTCTTTTTTATAAATTCATAATCTTTTATATGTTGTTGACTATTGAGAATTTTTATTGTACTTTTTATATCCTTCTGCTGCAAAATTTTGTGTGACAATTTGATTCCATATCTATAATGCTAGATACTTCTATGAATTTGCTATGAACGTGGCCGGCCAGCGATTGGGGTGATTTTCCGTATTTGTACTGTTTACTCCCTTCTCCATATTTCTAAATACTATCTTATATATAAAAATGGATTGCTGTTCGTTCGTCTCGCTAAAACTCGAGAACGGTTGGACCGATTTGGCTAATTTTGGTTTTGTAATATTTGTGGTAGTCCAGGGAAGGTTTAAACGATAAGAAATTATGGAAAAATTACATGGAAAATCGAAATAGCAACAATTTCATTTTTCCATACAAACAGTTCCTACCTGTCAAACATTTAATGGGTGCGTTCCGTTCTTTTTCTATGTGTTCGGCATCACAAATTCCCTAGAAATAATTTATATGGAAAAACAACGTTTGTCGAGTTAGCTAGTGTTTTAATAAAATCGTTATAAATTACTAATTCACCTTTCCAATTTCTAATTAAAGACTAATAAAAGATCATATACGATTCCTTAGTGTGCCGTAGCGTTCGAAATACTTACCACTCAAACTTAAACTTGACGAGATCAGTATATTGACTCCTGAATAAGAAATTCTAAATCAAACCTTTGCTCTTTATTTCCGTTACTTGATATTGTTTGAATAATGCCCTACCGTCGTGAATTTTTTGAAGCTAGTAGTACATTAGTTCGATTACCGCGTTCCATCATAAAGGCTTAATAAAGACTTCAATTGACAAATATATATGAATTTAATTCGCACTTCTCTGAGTGCAGCCATCAATATATTCAGCTAGTTTTAGGGTATTTAGTGTAAATCATCCGCAGATTTCTTAAAAATTTTTGTTGCAGAGTTATATAATAAGGAAATTTAAAGGATATATAAAATGTGTTGTTTATAATTAGAATATTTTTCGAAATAAGTGTTATTTACAATATTTTTACTAGTTGTTAAGTAAAATGATTGGTCATACTGGTAACCTGAGTTTAAACAGCGGGGCGTGACCGTGTATAGTATGGACGGCCACGCTTCTAGAAAAGTTACTGGAATCCGGAGTTAGTTGTAACTATGAAAATATTAATCGAATTAATTCAATAAGTATTACATGTTTAAATAATTAAGAAGTGTTGTGTATAGAATATCATTGTTTATATTTCGCGATGTAATAAGGACATATTTTTAAACTTAAGGACACAATTAATTAATTATATTTGATCTAACAAACCTAGCCCACGTGGCATGGTGACAGAGACGCTAGCTGCACTCGCTCGCTGAATAGTTAAGAGTTATGCTTAACATTTGAGTGAGAAAAAAACCAAGTCTCTTGTAGACGTCGTAGTTGGTCTCTAGCGATAAATCTAGGACATAAATATGTCAATAATGTTGAAGCTTATCGAACCCGTGGATCTAAGATATGAACAGTAAATGGCACTAATACATAACCTTAACAAAGAGTCCCATATTTGCACTACTTACTTCAGCTGCCTCTGATGCCTGGCTTAAGCAAAGTATTTTTTTACTGTCATTATCAATTAGCGTTCCGTGTCCAAAGGGTAAAACGGGACCCTATGAATAAGACTCCACTGTATATCCGTCGGTCCGTCTGTCACCAGGTTGTATCTCCTGAACCGTGATAGTAAGACAGTTGAAATTATCACAGAAGATGTATTTTTGTTGCCGCTTTAACTACAAATACTAAAAAAGAGAATAAAAAAAAAACATTTAAGCGGGGCTCCCATACAACAGACATGATTTTTTGCGGTTTTTATAGATAATGGTGCGGAACCCTTTGTGCGCGAGTACGACTCGCACTTGGCCGGTTTTTTTTAATACTTGTTGATGTTGAAAAACTCTTTCTATAATTATGTCGTCACTATTTTATAACAAATCTCGAGTTGTTGATACTTGTACACTGAGTGATACTTAATTAAACATTTTTAATTAAAGCCTAAGTAATTGATGTTATTCTGTTAGTAAATCTGTCTGTTAAGTTGCCTGCTGTGGCTTTCAAAATAACTTATTTACATTAGCTATTTTAAGAGATCGTTCATAAGTTTACATCTTTTACATTACATAATAACATTATTCTACTTTTATTTGATGTAAGGGACAAGTTTGTGTACAAATAGAAATAAATATACTGAATAAACTATTGGTTTCTTATTTTGTGATAATGACTACAACTTAACATGAATATTAATTATGACTTGGAGAAATTAGATTTTAAAGGAAACGTAAGGATTACTGGTATACTTAATTTATCTTGAAAAGGACATAAAAATTAATCAGATAATTCTCTCAAAAATTCAGGCCGTGTGCAAGAATTTAGCTAAATTACTTGTGTGCTGTGGTAATTGTTACTGTTAAGGCCATTGTTATCGTTACTTAACTGTTTAAATAACATGACTTCGATGAGGCTTTATTTTTTATGTGAGACAGTGGCAAGTGGGCTGGTGGTTCACCTGATGATAAGTTCTAACCGCCACCCATTTGCAACACCTTATGGGTGTTGCCTTTGGGTTGCAGATGCTTTGTCGACTTTTAATAAAGAGCCCAGATGCCTCACCTACTAGACGAAACGCCCATTCTCGCAACAGCATAGACTGTTGCGTGGCCCAACCGCAGTTAGAATTCTCAAACTGACCGGTGTGAGTTTAGGTTATGATTCGTTGCATTTCCAACATCTATAAACATTTGAACGCCCATAACTTATCAATATCGTGTACAATAAAGTTTTTATGACAGAGTTTATTTGCCGCCATTAACCGTGCATACGTAGTTAGGCGAAGTTTAGATAGAAAATGATAAATCCGGATGTAGTCAACTAATTTGAACAGGCCGTGCAACTTTTGTATTTGACAACAACCCATGATTAGAAATGATATCCTAAATTCATAAATTGGTTATAAAAAAGCTGATTAACCTTATGTGATTAAATATTTTGTATAATTATCACCTTTTCTTCTATGAATGACTGTACGCTGAAGAAAGCCGCGTAAAAATCTCCATTAACAAAAAACAATCCTCAGTCTAAATATGTCTGATGTAGAATGTGTGTAAAGTTTTAAAGTTTGGTGTATCTATATCTATAGTATCTATAGGTGTATCTTTCCGATCGTGGTACGTGAAATTACTGACGTGGATGACTGCCTAATCCGTGAGGTTAAAAGTGTGAAGTGAAGTGTTGCACTTCTGCGTTTCGTCTGGAGAGTGAGGTAGCCGGGCCCCATTTTATTAAAAGGTGGCAACGCATCTCCAAGCCTACGGGTGCTGCAAATGTCCATGGACGGCGGTTATCACATAACATCAGTGTTAGCTCATTTGCCACTTACTCGTATAAAAAAAAAGAAAATGGAATGCAAAATATGATACTTCCTCTGGAAAATGGTTTACCAGAGGCAGCGGCCAGTAGTTCAATAACTATATTTAAGAAAAACACCATATTTTTAACAGTAATAGGTTCATCATGTATCACGCCTAGGACAAAATAAATAACCGAATTATTGGCGGCACTAATTGTCTTTATATCTCTAGCCTTTTTTTAATTGCCGTGCCATTAAGTTTATAATGGAAATATACTTGACGATAAGTCATAACACGTAATGAAATTATGAATTGTGCGCAAATATCTTGTCATTCAATCTTCCATTGACCAGTCCATAATGCTGTCTAAAGGGTGATAATATTTAAATTAAAATATTACCTTTAAAATCCCTTATTGTTCTAACCATCACCTACGTAAATAACAACTTGTACGTTAGATCTATACGAGTTTACGAAAGAATCCAGGTCCACAGATTTTTAAGAACGTAGAAAATTTTTACTTTTGTATTTAACCGATATGGAGGGGAATCATCGTTGTCTATGCATAGCGATTATCTTGACTCTCGCGTTTGATACCTTCCCAATTGAAAGCGAAAACCTTTATTAAATAACATAATAGTAGTCGCTTTCCAAAAGTTTTCCTTTCAACCGTCTAATCCACTTTTTAAAAAAATTGTTACAGATTTTTGAGCATATTACTGCTTGGGACCGCTTTGAGGTTATGCAACGGAAAAGAAGACTGCTACAGCACGACAAGCGACCTCAACTCAAAATGGCGGTCAGCCGATGTCCTCGAACAATTAGGGCACGACGTTTATCAGAGTCTGTACGTATGTCTGTTCAATTTGAAAGACAAAATAGTCATTTCCAGGTACCACGTACACAATAAAACTCTGTGCACAAAGTTTTAATACATTTATTTTTATTGTGTACCTGGGGCCTAGCTTCATGGTAAACGAAAACAGAACAAATGAAATTACATTGCTAAATGGGAGAAGATACCAGAAACTCACTTCAAATTATATAAAAGTAAGCGCTTTTACAAATTATGGGCGTTTAAAAATGCTGTTTTTAAACACCATAAAAACTGAATCAATTGTTTATTTGTGTGTCTTCATACGTATTACTAATCAATATTTTACACCAGAAAATTCATATTTTCTTGGCAATACATCTTTTGTTTCTCCTTTTCACGAATGGGTTAATAAAATATTATGCTCACTGTGCAAGAGTGGGAAAGAATCACTGGTTTTTAGGGTTCCGTACCCAAAGGGTAAAACGGGGCCCTATTACTAAGGCTCCGCTGTCTTTCACCAGGCTCATGAACCGCGATAGTTAGACAGTTGAAATTTTCACAGATGATGTAATTCTGATGCTGCTATAACAGATAATTAGAAACTAGAAGGATCTGCTACAAAACTTTTAGTAGGTAGGCAGACAAAAAGGTAAGAAACAATGTTAAGAGTGAGCCGAGTGGCAGGAGGTTCTGTCGTTTCCAGAGCCCTGGGGCCGCTCGACGCTGGCGATGACCAGAAGCGGTTCGTGTCGGTGTACGGGCGAGCGCTGTTCCAGTATCTGATCAGCAAGGCGCCCGGCGAGGTGGCGATGATACGGGACGCCGTTCACAAGACCAACAAGCAACTGGATAAGCCGTCGGACGTGTTGGCTGCCCCGATGCGCGCTGTTATCTCGATGATGTTCAACGTCGTCGAACTGGTGTGATGCAAGACTCTTTTTTATTGCCCTTACTTTAGGATAACATCATCCTGTGTTGTAAGGACGTTTTACAAACATAAGTTTCACGTGGACAAACACCCGGATGCGAATCAACTATCTGTGGGTCACACAAATAGTTGTCCCGTGTTACCACACGAACCCACGAACCCCTCCGCCGAAGCCAAATACCTTGGCAACTGCGCCACGGAGATATATAAACTTTACTTGTTTTAGTTGCTCATTACTAAGAACGTATGTCTCGAATCACTTTGAACACTTAAAGTGATGCGTCCAGGAATACGTGACAGATAGATTTGCAGCCAGTAACATTTCTGGTTGACATTTTTGGTAGGGGAACTCACTCTCTGTTCTCTTTTCCATAAATTATCAGGTTAACTGTCCCTTTTTTTAATAAACTGCCCATAGTGGGAGTAAAACTACTTCAAAGTGCTTAGTTGACTTTGTTGTTTTCATAATTTGTGTTCTAACAATTACTTTAGTTCATCGTCATCACATAATTTCTCATCTTCAGGATATAACATAATTTGTATCGCTTAGACTTAAATAAGTTTGTCGGTAGGACTTAAATAAGTTTTTTCTATATAATGTATTTATAAGCATAATGTCATTTACTACTTGAATGTATCGGTACTCTCTTTCTGCCTAACACCACAAAATTGAGAATTTCGTAATAATATCAAATCAAATACCTTTTTTCAATATAGAAGCATTCCACTTTCTTATTCATTGTCAAAACGCTTGCACCGGTTCGGAAAGAAAAGCCACTGACCTGAGAATAACCGGGGAACGAAACTCAGTGGGGCTTTTTTTATCATTATTTATCAAAAAACTGGCCCGATAAACTAGATGCAAGGTGATTGTCAGCAACTTGTCGATGAACATTTACCGTCCTATACAAGTGTGATGATGACAGGCACCAAATCTATCGTACGCGAATCTGCGAGTACCCTGAACTATCTCTGTAGCTCTCCATCTTTCCAGCCCCTGACGGACGTGCAGCAAGCCTGCCCTTACGATGTCCGCGAGGCTGACTGCCAGCTGGCTTTGACGCAGCTGCAAGCAGAGAAGATCCTCCGCTGCCCGGGCTACAAGTACAACATCGTCGCGTATAACAGCGCCGTCGCCTTCGTGACCAGCTGCGGTCTGCAGAACCTCCTCGAGGATCTGACTGTGGCCAGCAGTAAGAGGACCGATAGCGACGCTCTTGACTTCTTCTCCGACATCGCTTCGGCGAAGTACCCGGAGGCGATACGGCTGTTCAAGACAGTCTTCAGTGTGATGAATAGCATCCCAGCGGACATGCGATGCGACATTTTCTCCTTCTTGTAACCTTCTACGTTCGGAAATGTTTCACCGTAATAAATTGTTTTGGGATGATGTGTTGATTGCTATTTTTATCCCCTTTGGGAAATCTAGGATTGAAGTCTAATGTGGATAATACTTTAAAGTAGCTTACTAGGTGGCGCAATTGCTGAAAATCTATACTAACATAACAAAGCCGAAGTGATTGCAACTTTGTTTGTACCAACGCGCTAATCTCTGGACTAGTATTTGAAAAAACCTTTTTGCATTTCATAGTCCAATCCTTGAGGAAGGTTAAAGGGTTATTTTACCTCACGCCTACGACCTACGGGGGCTAAGCAGAAACGTTTCTAGCGGGTGAAATCGCACATAATATATAGTGCTGTATAAAAGTAGATCATGCTAGAAGAAGAGTAGATCATGGAGATGCTCCATTGTTTATCTTCAAGTAACTTACTGTCGTATGTGGTTTCTATCGAAGATGTAGTGACCGATATGAACATTCCGAGATCTAGAGCCAAAGGACGACCAAAACCAGGTGGACAGATGTGATCAGACGAGATCTACGTTCCTGCAATGTAGCCGAAGGTGACGCGTCGGGTAGACCGAAGTGGAAGTGTAAGACCAAGAAGGCAGACCTCACCATCAAATGGGAATAATTGTTGCATAGGAGAGAAAGAGAGAAAGAGGTTTGTATCGATGGTATTTCCAGAATGTATAAAAAAAAATATTTTACGTCTAAAATCATTGTTGCACGATTATGGGCGATAAAACTGACTCGGTTGAATTCTTTGTTAGAAAATATCGAACCCACTTAATGTCAAAACGTTTTCGTAAAACAAACACCAATAATGTTGCTAGTGATTTCATCGAATTCTGTTTGGACACGATTTTTAAATTCCATCATTACTAATATCTGTATAACGTTATATCGGATCGTAAAAAAGTGACATCGTGATGCTAAGTCCGTTATATAATTCAACATTCAACCAGTTAATAACTAACTATAAATAATAAACACTGTAGCCATTTACATACGAGATCTTTTTTATAAATATTTTACTGGACGACACATGATAACATTATCATGTGTTGTAAAGACGTTTTACACACATAAACATGTGGACAAACAAAATTAAGATCCGAAACAATAATCTGTCACACAAATGGGGTAATCCGAACCCGCTGGGGATTTGTGGACTTCACATAACATCGAAATAATATTAATTAACCTAATACTTTTTTATGACTTCGAACAATGCAGGTTCTCTCACAATGTTTTCGTTCACCGCAGAGCACGTGATAAGTCGGCACTTAAAGTTAAAAACTTCATTGGTGCCGGCACCGGGGATCGAACTCACGTTGCTCGAGTATATTGAATTAAAGCCTGGACACTGAGCTACCAAGGCTCGTTCACATAGCCACGAGGAAATACCCCAAACAGTTCGAGCACATAGAGTCTATAAGAGGTTAGTCTTCGGAACTAACCGTGTAACACGTGGTTTTCAACTAATCAACATCGTGTTTAATAAAACAATTCTGCAATTTCATTATGTACTGTGCTCTCACAATCTCATTACTTAATAATCCGTTCTCTTAATCTCATGCAGTCAGTGCCGAGTTCAGTTCCGTTCGCAAAAGATTACGCATTGTTAAGATTTTGAGAAGTTGAATACTCGTAAAAAGTAAGAAAGATACAACAAGTGGCAATTTATATATGCATTTAAAGTTTATAACTGTAATTTAAATGCTACACGGTTAAAGAGAATAATGTTACATTTCTTTGTAGCTAAACTTTTCGATAATTTGGAATAAACATCTCCATTTATTTTATTCCATCAGTTACATATCTGAAAATGTCATTATCAGTGTGGATAATATCCCGTTAAATTAAACGTGGTATTTGATAAATGTTAAATGTTATGTTGTAAGTTTAATGACTTAAATTATTTAATGACTCCGTTATAAATTTGATGACTTCGTGGCGCAATTGTCAAGTTATCGGCTTCGGAGCCGCTGGTAGTGGATTCAATTCCTACACTAACAACAACCATTTTCTTGAAGCACAGATAATGGTTTCATCTTGTGTGTTAGTCCACGTGAAATTTATGTATGTAAAACGTCCTCACAACTTAATTTTATCCTATAAGGGAAGTGTTGTAAAAAAAATGGCCCATTAGATGGAAGGTGAAAACCTATCATTTAACGTATAGAAGTTGCCTTTTCTAGATATTCCCGTGTCGAATTCCCGTGCTCGGGATGATTGTGTACCTTGCGACGTCGCCGCTCCACAGGGCTTCATTAGGCGGCCCACCCTTGTGTTTATTGGATGACACGTGGCGAATTGGGGACTCCCCCGGTTCCCACGCCCCCTCCCCTTCCCCCCCGCACCGAAATCCGTCACGGATCCAGCGGATGTAGGCGAATAAGCCGCGACTCAGACCCGCGGAGTATGCTCCACTACAGAAATAAACAATAACAATATTACAGCGGCCGAAGTGTTTCTTTCTGGTTTTTTTCATGTTAGAATTTGACTAGCGAGCAGACGGTTAATCGGATGTTGAGTGATCACAGCCCGTGCAAAATTTGCAACACCTGAGGGGTTACAGATGCGTTACCAACCATTAAAAAAGTGTGCCCCGGCTACCTATATTACTGAATTAGACTTAGTTACGATAGTATACGCAGAGTTTTCGTTGTTGAGGCAACGAAAATGTATTATTACTGAACTAGACTTAGTTATTGTAGTATACGCAGAGTTTTCGTTGATGAGGCAACGAAAATGTACTATTTTACTGAACTAGACTTAGTTATAGTAGTATACGCAGAGTTTTCGTTGATGAGGCCACGACAATGTACTATTTTACTGAACTAGACTTAGTTATTGTAGTATACGCAGAGTTTTCGTTGATGAGGCCACGACAATGTACTATTTTACTGAACTAGACTTAGTTATTGTAGTATACGCAGAGTTTTCGTTGATGAGGCCACGACAATGTACTATTTTACTGAACTAGACTTAGTTATAGTAGTATACGCAGAGTTTTCGTTGATGAGGCCACGACAATGTACTATTTTACTGAACTAGACTTAGTTATTGTAGTATACGCAGAGTTTTCGTTGATGAGGCAACGAAAATGTACTATTTTACTGAACTAGACTTAGTTATAGCAGTATACGCAGTTTTCATTGTATTGCAAAGTAGTTCTGCTACTGAACTGACAGGATGACCTCGAAGCAGTTTGGCGCGATGTGAAAGGATTTTTATTTTTAACTCAACTAAGTGAAACGAAAACGAAGGAAAACGGGGAAGTGGAAGTAGACAAATAACATGGAGTGTGTAACAATGACAAGTTAAAAAGATGGACAGACATCAAGGACGCTGCCAGTCTCTGTAGATTCGCGCAGAATAGAGAAGAGTTTCGTATGGTGGTCTCCAACATTCTATAGGATAGGGCACCCCCAAGAAGAAGAAGTGATATAGCCGGTAACTGAAAAGGGACCCCGGCTACCACACTCGCAAGAGAGAGTTAGAGAAAGCACTCCATGCTTTAAAAACTCAACTACCTCTCTAGGTAGTAGTTTTTTTGACAATCAATAAATAAGTGTAATGATTCTATATTGAATAAAGATATTGACTTGGCTTTGAATTGACATTGCGGATGTCATCTTTCTGTTGTGTTTTTTACACAAATACGTACACTCGTACTAATGATGAATTCCTTCAATGTACTACATTATACAAAACATATATCCTATGTACACAGGACAAATAGAATGACAGCATAAATTTATATATATATTTCGATTGTACTCGTGTTTGTCAAAGAACTCCTCCTAAACGGCTGGACCAATTTTAATGAAATTTTGTGTGTATTCAGTTCGATTCGAGAATGGTTTTTGAAATTTTAGTTTCACAATTTTTTTAAGTCGTCGGATTTAAGTCGTGTACAGGACAACGTCTGTCGGTTCCGCTAGTTAAATATATAAGACTTTTTACATTTGAGATACCAATAATAGCGGCAATAAGTTTGAAAAAAGGAAAGGCGAAAACATTACTGGGCCTAACACAAAATAATGGACCCGATAACCGACGCAGCGTCAACAGACAATTATTCTAACAGATAATTGAACATAACGCTTTCAAGAACATAGGTACGCTTTGCAAATTGATTTATTCATCGATAAAGTTAATAGGTTGAGGGGAATGAATTCCCTTCGAAATAGATATTTTTCGCTTAGATATTAAAGCGCGCGACGTTACGGGAGAGTTTAAATTGATTACTCAGACAATTGAATTGAAGATTTCAAAGGCATCGCTTCGATACATACGTAGGAATGTGTGTGTGATAAATTTATTAATATGTAATGGACATTCGACACACGATAGACCATAGTTTGTCAATTTCAAATGGTCACAATTGGAAAATCGATTAATCCTTTCACGTTTTCAATCGACATTAAAAACGGAGGAGATTCTCAATTCGACTATATCTTTTTTAATGTTTGTTACCTCAGAACTTTCGATTGGGCGAACCGACTTTGATGATTCTTTTTTCATTTGAAAGCCGGCGCTTCCCATGTGGTCCCATATTGATTTCATTGGTATTGGATCTTGGGCTCCGGAAATACGTAGGGAACTCCTGAAAATCAATTATAAAATGAAAACAGAGCGAGATATTTGTGGTCGGTTTTGTTTTTCGTTCATAAAAAAAATCACTTGTATTCGGTAAATAGTTAAAGTTAATTGAAATGTTTTTTTTTTAAAGTTACAAGTAGAGCATCGCTTTCCCATCGCTTATTGAAGGGTCAACACACAATATGGTTAATAATTGCGTTCGCACGTTTGTCATGTTCACGGATCATTGGCAAAGCTGTCATCGGTGAAGACCTGTATTGTAGGAGGATTGCATTTTTAAATTCAGGTTTTATTTTCTTAATAAATTAAAATATCTTTAGTATTATTACAGTAAAGTTGTTAAGAAACTTTACGAAAAATGACAGTCATGTTACCTGCGGTCAAATATGATTTTTTTTCATGTGAGAGAGTGGCAAACGAGCTGGCGGTTCACCTGATGTTAAGTGATAACCGCCGCCCATGGACATTTGCAACAATCGTAGGGTTGCAAACGCGTTGCCATTTTATAATAAAGTGGGCCCCGGCTACCTCACTCTCCAGAAGTGTAACACATCTACTTCACGCCGGTCTTCTGTGAGGTCGTGGTACTTACCCGGAAGGACCTGCTCATTCGTGCAACAGTGTTGCGTGTCCCTAACACCGCAAATGATTCTTTTAATTTAGTTGTATTATTATAGATATTTTAAACAGAATAATAGCTTATCTAACCAAAACAAAATAACTGAAACAATATCTTTATATACCTATAACTAGCTTTTCTGCCGTGGCTTCGCTCGCGTTAAGCCCTTAAATAAACATCTATCCCCTTTAAAACCCTTTATAACCCTTTTTCCAATTAAAAAATAGCCTATACCCTTTCTCAGGCTCTAGACTATCTGTGTACCAAATTTCATTTAAATCGGTTCAGTAGTTTTGGCGTGAAAGCGAGACAGACAGACAGAATTACTTTCACATTTATAATATTAGTATGGATTCTTCTATGCGTGTGTACGTCACTGAATTCCTAACAGCTCCTACAGCTGCACCTATTTTAATGAGTTTTTTGTTTGTCTTCAGATCGACTCGAGAATGGTTTAGATTCGTTCAACAAATAACATTAAAAAAATATTATAAACAATTTATTCCAAATTAATTTGAGCTGAATTTTAAACTCTGTAGTTAGTGTTGTTTTTGTTTTTATGTGAAAAGTTGCCAAGCGAGCAGACGATTCACCTGATGTTAAGTGAATACCGCCGCCCATGGACATCTGCCACACCCGAGGGTTACAGATGCGTTGACAACCTTTTGAAAATTGGGCTCCGGCCACCTCACTCACCAGACGAAACACGAAAGTATTATACTTCCACTTTACGCCGATATTCTGTGAGCTTGTGGTACTTACCCGGACGAGCCTGCCCATTCGTGCAACAGCCGAGGCTGCTGCGTGGCCCTACCACCGTAAGTTAGTGTGAAAGTATGAACCGATCGCTAAAAATCACTGACCATTTATGACCAGTTCGCAACCAATTCGGACCCTTTTTTCAGAATTAAAATATCATAATTTGGACCCTTTAATTAGATGGGGCCCAAAAGACGGCCCTTTTTGTTTGAATGCGGAAACGGCAGATCGCAGTTTTCATTAGAAATGCAATCGTTAAGATCGATGTATGCCTCCAACAAAGTGTACAAAACAATTAGTTTTGCATTAGAAGCGGTGCATATCATGTTCTTGAGTTATTACACTTGTTGCTTGTTGTTTGGTGTTGAGTTTGACTTAAATGGTATTTTGATGCAGCCCTTGTCTTTGTTTAAGGTTCCGAAATGCGAATATTTAACTCGTTCGAAAATGTTTTTCGTTACGTTTTTGTTAATTGTGTACGTAACATTGCAAATGGGTATGAAGATATTTAGGTAATAAATTTCACGTAGTATAGCTCTAAATCAATTACAGAAGCAACAAGGAATTATCGTAGGTCTAACTTAAACTTATTTAAAAAAAAATATTGCGTAATTAATTAATGTTTCGCGGCAGTTTCTACGATTTGTGAGTCCTAAAGAGGTAAGAAAACAAGCTTTCCTGTCGAGAAAAAGTATTAATAGTATTATAAAATGAACTGTTTGCAACCTATTTCCGTTTTAATTTTAACACGCTTGGCGATTGTCTCTTGCGACGGAGGGGTCGGGTTCGACTCCCACTACTTCAAAAATATTGTGCGATGAATAAAGTTCTTTTTCAGTGACTGGGGTTATATTTTTACTAATTTACAAAAGAAAAATATGTATAAGGACGTTTACTGGCTTCTTATTACACATAATCCAAACTTTGCTTAGTTTGTGACTAGATAATAGTGTAAGCACGCACCCAGTATTTTTTATCATTTTTCCTTCTTTCCCAGACACAAGCATTGATTAAAGCATCGCAGACGCAGTGGAATGTTTTGATACGTGTATTTATCTCTTAGAATAGACAAGGTTAATGTTGTTGCATGTTGACGAGCAACACGGAATTATTTAAATGTAATTCGCCTTTAAAGTAAATGCATGTAGTCTGTTGTAGCCTGTGGTTCTGTGTTACCGTTTTATTTAAGACTTTACGTTATTAAAAAGAGGCGAGGTGGGTTCTTTAGTTTTTTTTGTAAGAAGGGGGCAAACGAGCTGGCGGTTCAACTGATTTTAAGTGATGACCGCCGCCCATGGACATTTGTAATACCCGTAGGGTTAAAAGTTCGTTGCCAACTTTTCACAAAGTGGGCCCCGGCTACCTCACTCACCAGACGAGACGCAGAAGTGTAACACTTCGGGCCAGTCTTCTGTGAGATCGTTGCACCTACCCGGATGGTCCTGCCCATTCTTGCAACGGCGAAGTTAACCAGTGTCTGCAACCTACGGTTGTCGCAAATGTGCGGCGGTTATCACTTAACATCAGGTGAATCTGGCGTGCCACCGTCTAATGTAAAAAAAACGAAAGAAAGTGTTCTATAAAACCACATAAGACTGTGACAGGGCCAAGAGAATTATAACGCGAACGGCTAGTCACAGAATTAGTCATAGACGTAAATTTATTGTATTATTTTGCCACATCAATCGCGAATTGTGACAGTGTGACATTTCCCTTGATTTTTACATGCATATATAATTAAGTTCACGCTATAAAAGGGCGTGTATTACGAAAATTGATTATTCCACCAGATCTGGCAGTGGCTGAAGGTGAATAGGTGAGTATTTTGTGGTTTATGAAGTTACAGTTTTTTGTCGCGTGTGGAAAAATTATGAGAGTAAAATCTTTACGATGCGCGCTCACACCGACCCTCAAAAAGTGATATGATGGTTTGTAACCAATTTAATCCTGGCAATTAATAACAACTTTTTTAACATTTACCAATAATTCCAAGTTATTTAATTAAAACGTTATCAATTTCATATAATGTATTAAAACTAAATGTACCTACATAATTTAAGTTTAATGAAAATCTATGCAAAAACACGCGTATGACAAACAACCTTGAGATATAATTATTTCAGCTTTACAATATTATGTTACAGTACCTAGACAATGTAAATATTATTTACCAACTTACGAGTAGCACATATTTGTATCGCGATCGATTTAAAGTTCTTTAAAATACGCCATCTGTACAAAATTTATCAAAACCTATCCTCTTCTATCGTTTAATGCAGAAAATGTCATAAATAAAACGATATAGAATAATTAAAATTTACTTTCTTCGCAGAAATGACATCTCTTACCATTATTTGGTCACTACTGTGCCTTGCTACAGTGAACGTGCACAGCGAGGTGGACCATACAGAAGGGAAGAACTTAGATGCCGAAAATTCTTGGAATGGGATAACAGAATCGAAGAACGACGAAAATGCGCACATAAACGGTATCAATAATCAAGACAACGTTGAAAGTGACAGCAGAAATGGTCTAGAGGGCTTGAGTAGTCTTCCTACTGCCTCTACCCAGTTGAGTAGCTCCGATACGAATATAAATGTGGACAGAGCCCTCAACGAAAACAACCGTCATGACGTTTCTGACTCATCCAACAGAATAAGCAAATTAAACAGGCTAGATGACAATGATTCACAAGAAACGAATGATGACAATCAAGCTGACTTGGTAATAAGTTTCGATCCAATGACGGATTACAACGATCAGCCTTTTCGTCGAAGCAACTCAAGGAACGTTTATATATTAAGTAGAATCGATGGTTCAGTTGACCTTGAAGGATTAAGTGGTCCATTCAAAGATGACAGATTAAACGAGTTGAACCCGCTCAATACTGTCGATGGAAGTATGCTTGCCAGAATGAATATACTCAATAAATTAGGCGAAAGCGATGCTAATGAATTGAATGGTTTGACAGTCAATGAAATAGATGGAACAAGGTCCAGTGATAAAAATTTAGCAGCTAACGTTGGTGTATTGAGGTTAGCGGAATTAAATGGAGTTTCTTTAAATAGCGTGAATAAACTAAATGATGCGCACATTACAGCGAAAATTGGGAACGCGGCTTTATCCGCAACTAATGGTCCATCTGATACCTCTCAAAGTAATGGGGATAAACGACTAAGTGGATGTAAAGATAAAAGTTTGAAGCAGGGAATATTGATCGATGCTAATAAGCAAAGAATAAGCAGAAACGACTTGGACAATTTACATAAATCAGATGATCTTCTTGATGTGATCGATGCAGTTCAAAGTAGACGAGGTGCAATAAATGGAATAATTTACAACGATAAAAATTTGCGCAATATGGAAGGAGTGATGAAAGGGGGGGATTTACTTAGACATAATGGACTTAAAAACTTAAAAAACAATGCAGCGTTAAAAATTGCTTTAAACCGTGAAGTCGAAAATATATCACCGGATCTAGTTAGAAACGGTAAAAATGTTTTGAATAAAGTGAATCTCATAGAATCTGATAGTTTAGATGTTGATTCAAACAGTCTATATCTTTTAAATGATCTTGGTAAAAGTGAATCACGACCTATGCGAAATTGTGAGGATAAAGGAGACTTAAAATGCTTTAACGATCTTATGGAAACTAATAGGAATGGAATTCAAAGTGTAAGCCTTAACCGTCTTAATCAAGCTAAAAGATTGCTTAAGCCTGTAAATTTGAATAAAGTGTTCTTAGCTGGTAGAAGCAGTAATGAATTAAATGAAGCAATTTTAAATGCACTGAAAAGTGATGAAGATTTTAATGCATTAGGCGCCCTTGCTATTTTAAGCAAATCTGGAGACCAAACTAACTTACTAAACTCATTCGCAATAAATAAAGTAAACAGCCGAAATGAAGTGGAACAAAATAGCGAATTGAATTTATTAAGGAATTTAGACGGATCAGACAATGCTATTGGAATTGATGAAGTAACAAATATTTTAAACAATATATACAAACTTGGCAAAAATGATCCCGCTAGTGATGTAGAATTAAATTCACAAGGCAATCTCGAAAATTTAAGTTCAAACAAAATTCATAATATAGTAGATTTAGATGAGGCGACTCATGGTTCGCCCAGCAGCAGAAGCAGTTGGGGTAACAATAGATTAAGCAATTTAGTTTTGGGATCCGGGCGAATCAATAAAAACGAAGTACCCATATATGTTAAAAGGTTAAGGAGACCTTATAGAGTTAATGGCCCACACAAACAATATGGATCGCACGTCGCCAGATATCCGTATCGATCAAAAGCAAGCGGTGATTCGAATATAGAGGAAAATTCGAGCAATTCGGTGGAAATTGCGAAGTTACTAAATGTTAAGCATTTGAACGAAAATAACACAGTCGGGAGTGCAAAGAAAAATTATATAGATGACTTGCTAAGTTCGGCAGACAATGGTGGACTAGCGGACGTATCGGTTAGTCTGAACGCAGCCCAATTGAAAAGTCTCATTGCCCATCAAAGTCAACAGAATGCTGCAGAAGATGTTGACAGAAACGAAAACTTGAACGAGATTAATAATTCAGATAAAAGCGAATTGAGCGTGAGCACGGAAATAAAAAGAGAATCGATTTCAAAAGCAGTCGATGACGTCAAACATGCTAGCAACCTCTTGCTCGCAGCAAGTATCGGCAATTCAAACCAACAGCGGAGAAAAAGTCCGCCCAATTCGAATATGCTAGCTAGAGGTGGCGTAGGCGCCAACAGCCAGTTGCTGCCTTTGCCTATTACAATCAACAGCAAGATTGCACTAAATAGGGGAGTATATTATAATTAGGCGATTTAGACGAGCTGAATTAGGTTTTTAACTTAACTTGGGGGAAACTATACGACGACTATATTAGAATGTAGAATGTTTTCGCTTCGATTTTCGTGCCTGTTTTTGTGTATGTTTTATTTTAGACACAACTATTATGCCATAATATGGTGCGTGCTTGGAAAATGTGTGTCTTATTTACATCCACTTATCTGTTACTGTATAAGAGAACATTGACTATTATATTATAGACTACACGGTGATACTTCATACAGAATTCTCCACGAATTATGTTCAAGAAATGATTTTCCAAGATCGTGTTGTTTCCGTGACTCTGTGCTGGCAATTAAAAATTTAAATCTAGTTATCTCATTCGCTTTGACTGTATGTATGTTTGCAGTTGAAATTCCAGACTAGCAGTCACACACAATAGCAGCTTTTAATATAAATAACAGCTTTTAATATAAAATAATGACTGAATTAATTTATTTGACGACCCGATTGACGTAGTGGGTAGTGAACCGGTTTCTTGGGCCAGAAGTTGAGAGTTCGATCCCCACTACTATAAAAATATTGTTTGATAAACATAGTGCTTTTCCAGTGTCTGGGTGGGTCCTATATGTATACCATGTATTTATTTACATAAGAAAAGTATGTTTAAGTATGTTCATCAGTTATTTAATACCCATAACACAAGCGTTGCTAGTTTAGGACTAGAGAACGTTGTGTAAAAATGTGTCCTAAATATTTATTTATTTATTAAAATAAGACATTCGTTGCGTATTATCAACTTCTATATTTGGAAACAGTTTCCAATCACAACGACAACGGACCATAAACGCATCGAAGAAATTAGAACATTCCCTTAACAAATTTTTGAACAAAGGCAACACTAAAACCATTTAAAAGGAAACAAAACATTCCCATTTAAAAACGCGCCTCTATTGGCCATTGAACACAATGGCGCATTACAAGTTGTCAGATCTGACAGCAGATAAGTTTTGAAGCGCGATTTTCTACTTTTTATTATTTCGAATTGACTTTGTAGGCATTATTTGTCATAACATAAATATTATTATTTAAAAACATGCAGTAACCGTTCTTGAAAAATATAGATTTATTTATTTTACTTTTAATTCCTAAGGTACATAGAGTGACAGTTGTTTTTGGTTTCATTTAAAAACTTCGATACATCTTTCGGAATAGCAAATGGATGTTATATTTACAAAGAAAACAGCAGGAAATTTAAAGCACAACATAACTACTGTAACATCAAGTGTTAATAAAAGATATAATTAACATAACTATGACCTTACCAGACGAAAAATGAAAGTATAATACTTCCACTTCACGTTGGTGCCTGTGAGGCCGTGGCGCTTGCAAGCGAGACAGACAGACAGAGTTACTTTCGCATTTATAATAATAGTATGGATAAGGTTCTAACTGCTGAGACAGGACAGGGCCACGAAAGACTAAAAAGTCAATACTTATTTGAATATTAAGTGTTTTTTTTTATATAAGAGAGTGGCAAACGACCTGGCGGTTCACCTGATGTTAAGTGATAACCGCCGCCCCTGGGCAGTTGCTACCCGTAAAGTTGCAGATGCGCCACCTTTCAATAAAGTGGGCCCGTCTACCTCGCTCACCAGACGAAACACAGAATTGTAACACTTCTACTTCACGCCGGTCTACTGTGAGGTCGTAGACCGTGGTACTTCCCCGAATGGACCTGCCCATTCGTGCAACATCGAACACTATTGCGTGGTCCTACCACAGTTGAAGGTATTTGGTGATTATTTAACAGCAAATATCTTAACCTCATAGGTTCAATATTATAGGCTGGAATATTCTGCTAATTTATTGACGACTTGAATGGCGTAGTGGGTAGTGTACCTGCCTCCTGCGCCAGAGGGTGTGGGTTCGATCCCCACTACTGGAAAAATATTGTTCAAAGTCAAAGTCAATCCTTTTGGCCACTCAAATATCATTTAAAAATCCATTTGACAGTTGGTTAGTTGACTTCTATCGTAGAAGTCAGAACATTGTTTCAAAAACCGGGCGTTAAACATACTTTTATTTTGTAATACATATTATCGATATACAAACACCCAGACGCTAGAAAAACACTACTTCATCACACAATATATTTCCAGTACTGGGGATCGAACCTTTGGCATACGAGTTAGGTATTTGAGCGTAAATAAAATACCCTTCAACATAACTTCGGCATTGGCAGAACGATAAAAAACAATTTTATCTCAACTCGGTCTCGAGTTAAATACGCGCTACCTAAAAGCGTAGATAATTCACGCGAAACGTTTCTCGTGCCGCTCAATCATAACGTTTAAATGGAGGCGATTATTTATGTTTGTCCGTTACGCACGGACGTGGATTAATGGCGGGAGCAAAGCTTACGTGGCCCAGTAGCTGAGACGACAGACTGCGCTCTAAGGAAGCCAGTTCGAATCTTAGCGGCGATAGTACTTAGGACTTGCAGATTTTGGTTGCCAAAGTCAATGTCTCACTTTTATTTATTTATTTATTTGGCGCGGTTACAAAATATAACATGACTAAATCCAATACATATTATTAAACTTGCATTTCAATAACAACCGAACATTCAATTTGAACATGTTATTTTAATAACGTATGTAATAAATAATACTTACTAATTTACTTAAAAGAAAGAAGCAGACCAATATTTTCAGAGGACTTATTATATTTTATATAAAGTCAATGGTCTCACTTGGTGTCTACATATTTTCGAAATAATAATAGAAATAAAAGATTTCGAGGATATGGAAGTCTGCCAATCTACAATGGGGTGAGGTGACGACTACGATTTAATATCGTCTGTACAGTAGAGACCTATAGGATGTTGCTTTTGCTTTTTACCATAAAAAAATATTGTGTCGCGCAGCACTGGGTTTTATAACGTGGTATCATAACACAATGGCCTCACAGAAGATCGGTGGGAAGTGGGGGTATTAATAACAATTTAGAGTTTGGCCTGTTGAGTGTGATAATCTCGCCTGATCATTCATCGACATAAGACATCTATCGATAGTCATTTTTTTTTTAAATCTACCACCGCTTCGTAATAAAATTCCTCTAACGGAGAAGAAACAGGCGAAAGAAACTAGGGAGTTTTCCTCAATTTTGTAATTTTTCAGTCCACAAAACATTATACAACTCTTTTTCTTTTTCAAATAGCTTGGGAGCGATCAACTCATTCTCATGGGTTTTGGTTATTAATGATAATTCATTTGACACTTATTATAAACTCTTTAATAAATTTCTTAAACCCGTTAATAGGCAGGCTTTACGCATTTTTTTTATGTGAGAAAATGGCAAACGGGCCGGCGGTTAACCCGATGTTAAGTGATAACCGTCGCCCATTGACATTTGCAACACCCATAGGGTTGTAGATGCGTTGTCACCTTTTAATAAAGTGGGCCCCGGCTACCCACTCACCAGACGAAACGCAGAAGTATAACACTTCCACTTCACGCCGGTCTTCTGTGAGGGATTTTGCTGTAGAAGGCATGGATAGAACAGCGTTAAACAGCGTAGTGTCAAAAGTGACATCAGGTGAAACTCGACTCTAGTTTTCCAACTACCGTCACGTCTTTATCCACCTGTTATGATTGAAACACTTAAGGACCTCAGTCCGCAGCTAACCACAGCCCCCAACGTGATCGTTGTACACCCACCCAATTTTTTCCAACCCCATTCGTGCGTCGGTACCGCGTAGATTTCGCGTCGGGGCGTCGAAAAAAGCCTCGCTCCCATTAAGTGGCTAAAAGCTTTCCTCCGCGCCGGGGAGGTGCTGTGTAATTTGAAAATAAAAAAAATGTTCAGTCACCCCCCTCTTTGATGGTGCCGGCAATATTTTGACAGGCTGTGTTTAGGGCGGTAAATGTCGGCGGGATGTTAAGGCCAATTTTGAGTGGAGAGGTTTCCGCGGCATGTGTAGTGGATGCAACTTGGCCAATAAGGAAGAAAGAAACAAAGAAAAAAACAAAGTAAACATTTATTGCACAATTACGTCACATAAGGATTGAACAGTTCCAACAACTAAGTTATGTGGATATTTAAACCGCAAATAAAAAAAAACATGGTAAAAGAAAAAAAAATTATGATACAACATGACGGCTTTAAGGTTGCGTGTTAGAAGTCAGCGGCCATCATAAATGTATTTTCCATTTACTGTACGTTACCTTGTACTTACATTTACCTTCACGTACATGATCGTGAACTGAATGTCAAAACTATTTTCGGTCTCCCTTATAAATGTTCAGTTGCGTCTTTTATAGGATGTTGTATGCGTTTAATTTAAATACATGACAATGTTAAGTCTATTTTCTACGTAAATAACATTAGAATAATAACAAATGCTTTATTTATATATTTAATTGGTAAGAAATCAGTTTTTTGTTTGTTACTATCAGTTGTTAGACAGCAACTAACATAGACTAACACTAGACATTATTGGTATAGATAGACATCTTTACCATTATATGAATGCAGCACTTATTTTTACGTTTTAAACCGATTCAAAAAAACTCTGATACGATGCTCGGTTAACACTTCACAGCACAGTAAATATATTTACAACATTTGTAGGTGGCATTTGTATTACATTTTCATTACACGAATTGGATAATGTTCATTCCCACGTATTAACTCAAAGTTTAAAAACACTCTTTTTCTAACCTCAGACAATAAAAGCTTGACGCGGATGGAAAACATAATACCCAAAGAAAAAACTAATATACATTATAATCTTTACACAAAAACTATACACGTGTATTTTATGTAAACACACAGATAGAATTTTGTAACATTGAAACCATTTAAGTTATTTTTTTTTATTAATCATTAAAAAAAGACCACAGTTTTTGCCGGTCTCTGGACAGGTCTTTAATGAACCGGTGGTAGTTCTTCGACGTTCAGTAAGAGATTAAAACGAGCCTACATTGAGTAAAAAAATTTCGACTTTGACTTCGATAACTACCAATACATGGCTGCACTGGCAGCGGGAAGCTACATATTTAAGTTGGTGCTACAAACAATGCGCGGGAGGCTTTCGGGCGGGGAGGGAGAGGGCAGGGGAGGGTAGGGATGGGCGGGGGAGGGAGAGGAGGTCCGTTTAGCGCCGTTGTTCTATAAAGAGAGATGACGCCGGAGCATATCGCGGGCAGTTCCGCCCACGGCCGCAAGGGGGCGGCGCCTAAACCGGACCGGCGTTCGCGCAGAAAGCCCACTGAAATAAACCGCCAGTACACGCTCCAATACTAAGCCTAGGCGCAAAGCGGTGCCTCGAGAAATGCAATCCTCCTTCGTTTTTATGTGAGAAACAAAGAATGTATGTATAGTATAGAGTAACGAAGAAATGTATTATACATAAAAACCTTCCTCTTAAATGGCCCTATCTAGTAAAGAAAAGCGCATCAAGGTCCGTTGCGTAGTTTTAAAGATCTAAGCATACATAGGGACAGATAGCGGGACGAATTTGTTTTATACTTTACTAGCAACCCGCCCCGGCTTCGCACGGGTGCAATGCATTACACATATAAACCTTCCTCTTGAATCATTCTATCTAGTAAAGAAAACCGCATCAAGGTCCGTTGCGTAGTTTTGAAGATCTAAGCATAGATAGGGACAGACAGACAGCGAGACGACTTTGTTTTGAACAATGTAGTGATGTGGCAAGCGAGCTAGCGTTCATATAGTTTTAAATCCTTACTAATATTATAAACGCGAAACTTTTTATGTATGAATGGATGTTTATTGTCTTGATGTCTTTCACGCTAATACTACTTAATGGATTTTAATGAAACTTTACAATAATCTTATCTTATCCTTTAAACGAGCAATTCTTGTGTTTATATATATCGGAAATTTCACTTCAAAGTTATTAAAAAAAAGGAAACAGAACTGCTGACCCTAAAGTCATCAGTTCCAATATACTTTTAAGCAAGTTTTATTTACAAACTACACAACCAAATACTTTATTAAATTCTTATAAACGAAGTGATTACATCAATACTTTAAACATAAGGGTTAGGGCAAAAAGTAACAAATAAACAAAGTACAAAAATAATAATTATTTTATTGAACTGACACAGATTTTACTTACAATGTTTTCTCTTCAAAAGTCAGCTTCGAAGTGAGCTCTCCACTCAAAGCACTTTAGGTACCACAGTTTACAATGTCAACGCCACTGAATCGCCAGGTGGCGTTATAATCGCACAGTATTTTTACAACTTTATGAAACTATTATAAATGAATTAAAGTTGTTATTAACGAATAAATTGTTATAAAAAGTTCCATAGTTTTATAGTAATGTTTTAAAACTATTCAAAAGTTATTTAAGCAATTTCACAAATAAACAACAGTATGGACATTCAAATGGTTGAAATACGGAATCGTATTGAGACTGTATTAGTGAGACAAAACTGTTACTTATAAATTAAATGTTTAAATTAAGGTAGTATTTATTTACTAAATTAAGATGAGGATTTAGTTATGATTTTCTAGTAAATATAACTTTTAATCATGTAGTTGAGAATAATCATTTCTTGTAATAATTAAAACTAAATTTATGAATTAACAAACTTGTTTTCTAAATATAAACATTGATATTCTGTATTACGATTTTAAATTAACTTAAAAGCCAAATAATCGCTGCGGCGACATATATATATAATCGGAATCTCGGAAACGGCTCCAGCGATTTTCATGAAATTTAGTATGTGCGTAGATTCGGGAGCGAAAAATCGATCTAGCTAGGTTTCATTTTTAGAAAATGTCCTTATATCCCAATTTTAAAAAAGTTAATCATTCGAAAAAAAAAATTTTATAATAAATAGCTCGGTCGGTAATCGGGCGGCCCCGAAACAGAAGGCCATGGTTCGTGTCACGATCATTTACACACTTATTTTTTTACTTTTTTCGATTACAGATCATTGCTTTCTTTATTTTTTCAGTCCTCCAGGTACTATAGCTTCAGAATAAGATATAGGATATAATTTATACACATATTTTATGTATATCTGTCTGAATGTTACGCCTTCGGCCTATTCTACGCAGACGTAGCGGGCAGCAGCTAGTAAATATGTATACGTAATGAATAAGAAAGAAAACAAAGAGAGGTATTTTGATGTAGTTGTAAAAAATAATGACGGTCTAATTGTTCGCGTGTCCCAACACCAAACAACTAAAATGCCCGGATTAAGGCGATAAACTCAACCACCTCTATACGATAGGCTCGTTGCAACTACCAGTCAACTCTATTAGGGATAGAAAACGTGAACGTTTCCAAATAATTTAGACGATTTCTAAATTTTGGAACCTTACAAACTGCTTAAACAGAATAGAGTAGTGTAAAATATACTCTGTAGCACACAAGGAAATACATACAAAGGAAGAATTACAGGAAACAGTATACATATTGGTGGCCTTATTAAGCTAGGGTAGCAATTTCTTCCAGACAACCTTAACAGCCTAGGTCTTGTATCTTGTATTAACTGATGTTTATGCTTTCAGTACAGCCTTGGTCACACGCTCTTACTCCATTAAGATAACAAGTCAAACATTTTTAGAGATAAAAATTGAAACACTACTTTAAATAATTTTTAAAATCGTTTCGTAAATGGCGGATTTCTTGGGTAACACTTGATGTTGAAAGTTTGTATGAATGGATGGTTGTTTGTTACTCTTTCACGCAAATACTACTGATGGATTCTAATGAAACTTTACAATAATATAGCTAATACATTAGAATAAGACATAGGATTTAATTTACATATTTTATGTATATCTGCCCTTCCGTCTGAATGTTACGCCTTCAGCCTATTCTGCGCAGACGTTGTCGCGGGTAGCAGCTATTTAATAATATAACTTAAGAAACTAAAAAACCCAACTGCGTCTCTGTGTATTTTTTTATTTTGACATACCCGGTGTCAATCACAGTAAATACGAATCTAACGACACCTCTCAAGCCGTTCAGCCTGCCGAGCGTGCCAAACAATTATCCATACATACGAGTACATAATCTCGAAAAACATGACTCTCCTTCTGGCGCAGTCGGGTTAATACACGGCGATCACACGAGACCCTCACTAATTCTCACCTCGGGTCGGATTCGGCAGGGCGGCACCAACCGCTGATCCGCTCGCGCGCTCCCACAGACATCAAAGGGGCCGCCCGGCGCCAGGTTTTTTCCCGTCCGCCGCCGATAAGGGAGCCACTTAGCGGTGGCATCTCGAGTGCCGTACAAACAGCCGGCCCGACTATTTTTAGCTACCGGCCGCGCCGTTCGGGACGAACCGTTCGAGGCGATGCGCGCTGCAGCTAGAGTTGGGCGGCTAGCTACGGGATCGGTTTCCACCTGAGAGGTACCTGCAGTACTACATCCTAACGGATGTGTATACTAAATTAAAATTTGTAGAAAAATTGCGAAAGATTGTCGCCGCTATGGGAATCGAACCCACGTCTTCGGCATTCGCGGCCTGACAAACTAACCTAACCCACACAGATACCTTGTGTGGGTTAGGGCGTAAGAGATGTTTGTGTTGATTATATTGTTTGCGACAACTCTCAAATGCAGGCAAATGCGTAGGCCAATAAAAGACATTAGTAATCATAAAGCTGAACGTAAACCAGGTTGAATAGAAAAGGAAAATTAATCAGATTAGGATCTTAAACACTCCATTGTATCAACTTGGTATGTGACAGCCTTCATTGTTGCACGAATAGACAGGTCCGTCTGGGCAAGTACCACGGTTATACTTCTGCGTTTCGTCTGGCGAGTGAGATAGCCGGGGCCACTTCATTAAAAGGTGGCAACTTATCTGTAACTCTACGGTTGTTGCAAATGTCAACGAGCGGCGGTTATCAATTGCCATCAGGTGAGCCACCAGCCCGTTTGCCACCTTCTTTTATAAATAAACCATTCATATCAGAAGATTTTATCTTTTTCGCGAAATCGATTAGTTTGTTATATAATAAAATAAATTCTACGTCTATATTAAAATGATTGGTGATAACTTCATAGCAATCGTTCATCTCTTTGAACCTGGGATCGGGTGCCGAGAGCCGAGTGGCGCTGTGGACTGAACCGTCGCCGCCACCTAGGCAATATCGGGCGAAGTGGTCTATGGGCCCGAGTGGCAATAATATTGAAATCGGGCTTCATATCCGGTGGGCGCCGGAAGTCGCCACTTGCGCGGAGTGGTGCGCATTTGCATACCGGCGGAAACAATAACGTCTGTTCGACTGTTCGTCTGCACTTCTGTTCGTATATTGCATCTGTGTCGATCGATCTGATTAAAAGTCAATGTCGAAGTGTTTTAGGCGACTTCGTACTCGTTGCAATCGTTTTGCTCACAACTGCCCAGAGAAAACGAAAATATCTGAGGTTAAAGACATATTATTTTTAGAAAGATATACAATTTTGGAACTGATCACTCCATCATCATTTCAGCCTGTTTGACCACTGCTGCACATCGGCCTCCCCCATAGACTGCCACGAAGTACGATCCTGAGCCACCTGCGTCCATCGACTTCCCGCCCATTTGCACAGTTCGTCACTCACCGTCTTATGCGTAAATAATTAAATAAAAACTTCAACTTTCTAATTTTTTGAGACCATCATTTGCTTTTTTAAATACGACCTCTATTAGAAAACCGTATTCTAATTACAATGAATATAACTCTTGAACATTTACACTTATTGGTTTTTTAAAATGCTCGCTTCGGCCTAAGTAAACAAGAGTGTTTTTTTTATGTGAAAAGTTACCAAACGAACAGACGGTTCACCTAATGTTAAGTGAATACCGCCGCCCATGGACAACTGCTACCGTCGGGGGTTACAGATGCGTTGACAACCTTTTGAAAATTGGGCTCCGGCTACCTCACTCACCAGACGAAACGCGAAAGTATTTGTCATACTTCCACTTTACGCTGGTATTCTAAAGTGTAAAGTCGTGGTACTTACCCGGACGGGCCTGCCCATTCGTGCAACAGCCGAGGCTGCTTCGTGGCCCTACCACCGTGAGCAGTTGGCAGAGATTTCAAATAGTATTTGATGCAATCCTAAGTAGCAACTTATTCGTGGTTCGGAGAGCTTATATGTGTCGACAGGCCACTACAGTTAGTATCCAATATCCAATATTAATACCCGAAAACTAATATTTACAAGATTTAATCTATCTAAAATTACATATTATTATCTAATAAATCTAATCCACATGGCATGGTGCCAAGAACGCTAAAAAAACGAAAACTTATATAAAACTGCAAAAACTATGTCAGTAATTTCTTACCCAGCAGCGGAATCAGACAATTCGTCCTAAACTATTCTTTACCATTACAATAAGCGAACAATTAAAGTTGCATTGCCTCTTTCCCTAAAAATATGTTCGCTCAATTGTTGTTCTGTATTACGAATTATGTTATATTTCTTACTTACTTAACGACTCTCTACGTCACTTAAAGAGTTTTTGAAATCAGCCAGGCTACACACCAACAAGGCCTCGCCGAGCTTCTTGAATCGATCTTAAGGAGGGATGTTAACTATGGTACTCTCCTCTCTTCTGTAAGCTCAAGCTGGGTACCACAGCTCAAAAGAAGAGCTTCACAGAAGAACAATAGTTGGCAATGCAACTGCAAGCACATCTGTGGTCCAGTTTGTTCATGTACCCCTCGCCTTTACCCGCATTTCTTAAAATAGCTCAGCTAATTTAAGAAACTTATCCATGAACCATTGCCTTTAACACCTTCTCTTGTAAATATAGTAAGCTGAAGCAATTTTAAAAACCTCATCAGAACAACTCTAATTGAAAATACTCATTAGGCGCAGGGGTAACTACATTAATTGACTACAGCATCCTGTGAAAATGTCTTTTGGCTCGCTTGCTCCTTGACTACCTTTAATTCTAATGTATTTAAAGAAGGGAATTAAAATAATGTTCGTGGTATTTTTAGCGGTATCTTTCCGATTTCCTTCGGGCTGTTCTAAATTAGCGAACTGGTTGTTGACTCGACGCCTACGATCAGTTTCAGAGCCTTCTTTTGCGAAGATACTGGAGAAAAAGATTAGAAAATTCGGAGCAGTTAAAAATAGCGTTTAACAATTCACTGAAATTGTCATTATAGACAGTTTTAATTTAAAGATAACTTATTTTTATGTAAGAAAATGGCAAGTGAGCTGGCGGCTAACCTAAAGAATACAAATCAATACAATAGGCGGCCTTATCGCTAAAAAGTATTGCCTTCTAGGCGACCTAAATATAGAGATAATTGCAAATATTTCAGACATTTCGGACACATTTATTACGCAACGTTTTCTAGTCCCAATCTAAGCAACGATTGTATTATGGGTACTAGAAAACTGATAAACATACTTTTCTATTCGTTATTAAATACATATTATACATACAGGGAGATTTTTTGAGAAGTGCCCAAATTTCCACAGGAGGTTCAGACTCGACAGTATAATCGTTTATTGAAATAAAAAACAAAGTTTTTTTTTTTTAAAATGCCATTCTATTCCCTAAAAAAGCGGTAGTCATTCATAAATACCTAAATTTTACTGTGGACGAACTTGTGTGCGTGTTAGTTATGAATGATCGCGCGTAAAATAAATGAGTTGCGTATAAATCACGCACTTTTGAGATAAGTTTAAAAGTAAAGTAAAGTAACAGCCTATACATGTCCCACTACTGGGCAACGGCCTCCTCTATAGAGAGGGTATCAGGGCATAGTCCACCACGCGGCCCCACTGCGGGTTGGCGGACTTCACATATCTTCGAAATATATTTTTTTTTTGTTATTATTTCGAAAATATGCAGGTTTCCTCACGATGTTATCCTTCACCGCGGAGCACTTAAAGTTAAAAAACTTCATTGGTGCCGGCACCGGGGATCGAACTCAGGTTGCTCGAGTATATTGCATTAAAGGCGAGCGCCCGGACACTGAGCTATCACGGCTCTAATCAGTTAAGTTTAAATGAATGTAATTAATTACTTACAAGTGATTTTAAATATTTATCATTTTTATATAACATTATTTATGTCTAGAATTTAATAAAAACAATGGATATACTTAGAAAAGCCAACCTGTATATAAACACACAGACCCTGGAAAAAATAAATAAATAAATAAAATAAATAAATATTTTAGGACACATTTTTACACAACATTTTCTAGTCCCAAACTAAGCAACGCTTGTACTATGGGTACTAGAAAACTGATAAACATACTTAAACATACGTTTCTTTTGTAAATAAATACATATTATAGATATATAAACACCCAGACACTAGAAAAACACTATGTTCATCACACAATATTTTTCCAGTAGTGGGGATCGAACCCACACCCTCTGGCGCAGGAGGCAGGTACACTAACCACTACGCCATTCAGGTCGTCAAATGCGTAGCTACCTTTCATCAAAGTGGACCCCGGTTACCTCACTCGCGAAACGTTGGAAGTTTAACACTTCCACTTCACGCCGGTCTTCTATGAGATGTATCTATCTTCTACGGACCTACCCGTTGGTGCAGCATCGTAGACTGTTGCGTGGCCCTACAAGTTAAACATCTAATCACCTTTTGAGTCAACAAACGCATCACTATTGTATTTATTTTAGATACACATTCATATTAAACGTGATTGTCAAGAACTCAAAATTATTTATTATGTTATAACTGTTATTAAAATTTTAGTTTTGTTAAATTTTTCTCACACTACTTTGTAGATGTTACATTATTTTAATTAGGGTACAAGTTTCTGTTAAGAAAGCTGTGTCCACCTGTAATTGTTGGAACATTTACGACTTATTTTTTTTAAATTGCTTTGCATGCTTAATGTGTCCAATGTTGGTGAACCTTAATAAATATATAAATAATTAAAAAAACTCTTACAAAATGTCTCTTGACCTTTCAATTCCACAATTAGTATAACATTCTATTAACTAATTTCTATCTGTATGCATACGTTTTTCTTGATAGCTGAGTTGTCGTTTCTTCTGATGATTAATATGGACCCATAGACAAACAATGCCACGCATACTGCAGGCGATTTGAACCTTGGGTACCAGACAAAAATCAAAGATATGAATACTTTAACATCCCAACGGTCGGTTAGTCTCCCGTAAGAACTCTACTAGTATGGTTTAAATAATATGTTAATAAATCGCCTCATTTCAGTATGGAATCCCAAACAATAGCGAAATCACACATTGAGGGACAATGTACGAAGAGATTGTTTTACATTAACCATCCCCTGCGGCACGGCATGAAGACGTCACCCCTTCTCTGCTACCCACCCCATTCCATTAAGCAGATTAAAAGCACGGCACTAACCTCCCCATTCGTCTCCGTGTTTAGGCTTTGAATAAATGTTTTCCAGTGTTGACGATGCGTGTGCAAATCGACGATAATGATTATTACTTGCTTTTGAACGTCCATTTCAAACCGAGACTAGGTTGTAATAAACAGAATCTTTTGACTAAAACGTCATACATATAGGTACGCCAGATTCCACGTTTTTAGAGCCAGTCTTTTAGGTAGCCAAGTCATCATAGTCATCATCATTTCAAGCTGTTCTATATCAGGTTTCCACGAAGCACCTATATTCATTAGCCACAGGTCGAAACTACGATGACCATTACGAGACTGCCACACAAAGAACTTTCTCGCCATCGGTTATGGATGCTACGAGCTATGTGGCCAATAAAGACCCATTTACACGGTGCCAGTTTCTTGCCTGTTGTATACAATTAAATTGAAGCAATAAATGAGTTGCATGGTCTATACAACAAATGGTCTTAACAATTATTGCGCGCAATTTATTGCATTCAATTATTGCTCTTGTATGTACAAGAAAATGGCATCGTGTAAATGGGCCTTAAGAGTAAGACAGTAATCCATTCTTTTCCAGTTTTTCTTCTTTTAAAAACGCCGACCCTAAATACAAGTTATATGGACAGATTCGTGGATCATGCAACATTGGTGACGTTGGGGTCGAACAAAAAATGTCGAGCAATCACAATCTTCGAAGGTATCACTAACTAGTTATCACCCCATTCGAGCTGTTAAACCGTAATACCGCTACTACAATCATGACAAGTATTACGGTGTACCAAACAAATATGTGTATATAATTGCAATATAGAATAGGTTGGGGACTTTG